TCACGGTACATAAAATATTCAGCCAGAGCTACGCCTGTATAAGGCGCGAGGTATTGTAATGTAGCTGGGGAATTTGATGTTTCAGCCACTATAATAGTGTATTCCATTGCTCCTCTTTCTTGTAAAGTAGTTACTACTTGAGCCACAGAAGATGCTTTTTGACCAATAGCTACATAAACACATACTACATTTTGTCCCTGTTGATTGAGAATCGTATTTGTAGCTACTGCTGTTTTACCTGTTTGTCTGTCCCCAATAATCAATTCTCGCTGGCCACACCCTATAGGGATCATAGAATCAATAGCAATAAGTCCTGTTTGAAGAGGCTCATATACGGAACGTCTGGAAATAATACCGGGAGCGGGAGATTCAATTAACCGAGATTCCAAAGCTGAAATTTCTCCTCGACTGTCAATAGGTTTAGCTAGGGCATTTACAACACGACCCAAATAACCCTCACTTACTGGTATCTGAGCAATTATTCCTGTTGCTTTTACGGAACTTCCCTCTTGTATCATCAAACCATCACCCATTAATACAACACCAACATTTTTGGATTCCAAATTCAAAGCAATGCCTATTGTACCCTCTTTAAATTCTACTAATTCACCTGCCATTACTTCATCAAGACCATAAATACGAGCAATGCCATCGCCTACTTGAAGTACGGTACCTGTATTTACAATTTTTACTTCGGTATTATATTGCTCAATCCGTTCACGGATAATTTGACTAATTTCATCTGCACGAATGGGTACCATGAATATTTTTATTAATTGGATTCTTTTTCGAAGAAAAACAAAAATAGGGCCTCTCCATACTCTCTATTATAGTAGAACCACTAATTAGTTATTTTTTTCTTTGATCGCCCCAAACATACCAATATTAGCAACGATCATACGTAAATGTAACTCGTTGTTTAAGCACCTATTCAGAGTTCCCAGAGCTCCTTGTAATGCTTGTTGTAAAACCCTTTGTTGGACTTGATTAATCGCCCTTTGTTGTTCAAAATGAATGGTTTCATTTTTGTAATTTTCGAATTGTTCCAAAGTTGTATAAATGGAATTAATTAAATTCCATTTTTCTCGTTCTATCTCAGAATAACCATTCACTCGAAACCGATCTGCTTCCATTTCTACTTTCCTGAAACGGGCCCGGGCTTTTTCCAGCTGTTCAATGGCTGTTTCCCGTAGTTCTTCTGAATTTCGAATAGTTCTCAGGATTCTCTGTTTTCAATTATCTAATAAATCACTTAATGAAAGTAGATTCTCTTTCCATTCATTTCCAAATGTCTATGATCTCTTCCCGAACCAAACATGAATCTTTCAATTCATTTGGCTCTCACACTCAATTCCTTATAGGAAATTCCCCCCTATTTATTAGGGAATGAGCCTATCCTCTTTTCTCTATTTCTAAAAATCTTGAAAATGATTATCAATACAAGACCCAAATATTTGGAGGACTCTTCTGAGCAAACAAATAATTGTCAGCAAAGTTGTTTTTTTTCTTCTTGAAATCCAAAGAATTATGATTAATTTATACGTAGGTCATCAATTCCGCATTGTAGAAAAGTAGAAATGGAGGCGTTAAACAAAACACCTTTTTTTTCCTATTTTTCATCATACAGAGAATTCAAGTCATTTTATCGACATGAGTGTTCTATATCGAAAAAATTAGAATTTCCCTATTAACATAGTGGTAGAAAGAATACTAGACTGCGTCGAAACTTCAAACTCGTTAGCTTTAACAATGGTAATGTTCCAAAATTCTTGGTTGATAGAGAATCAAAGTAGATTTACCACTGAATCGCGAAATGCTATGGTTCTGAACTATTTTTTTCGTTATTCCGTAAGAAGTCATTCGCCGGATCATGCACATTTTCCTAGTTATAACAAAAAAAAAGTGCAGTTGGTTGGATCCAATCTATTCTTTGAAATAAACAACTCGCACACACTCCCTTTCCAAAAAAAATCAATACACCTAGGACTGCACTTATATTTATTAGATTTGTTGCTAAAATATCGATATCAAACCCGAAACTTCCGACGGATGGCCAGGAAATGAAGCAAAGAAAATATTCGGTTATATTTTTCATATGATCGCATCTCCTCTTATAGATAGACTAAATTTATTTCTACGATTCCAAGTTTTTTTATTCGTTTTTGTATATAATAGTTTATTCTATAATTGAATTATTTAATATGAATATATTTACTTATTCTTTCTATTTTGATTCTTACTAATAATGAATATTAGTAAGAATCAAAAGATACTAAGAAGACTATTCTATTCTATTCTATATTTGGAATTGGTTAGTCAATTGAAAGATTCCCTATAAGGAATGATACTTCTTAGAAATAAATACTAGTTCGTATGTAAATTGCAAAATACTTAGTTGTTTTCAACACTTTCTAAATAAAAAGGGGGTCATTGGACTAATGAAAGGGACGGAAGAAGGCAAATCAGTATGTTAATCCGAATGCAAAAAATTGTAACAGTAAAATCGAAATAGAATTAGCAAGAGCAACAACGAAAATCCATGAAAAAAAAACAATATGTATTTTTTTGAATAAATATTAAACTAAACAAAAGGATTGGCAAATAAAAGCGCTAATGCTACAACCAGCCCATAAATAGTTAAAGCTTCCATAAAAGCCAGACTAAGTAATAAAGTACCCCGTATTTTGTCCTCTGCTTCCGGTTGTCTCGCAATCCCTTCTACAGCTTGCCCTGCAGCTGTGCCTTGACCAACTCCAGGTCCAATAGAAGCAAGCCCGACGGCCAACCCAGCAGCGATAACAGAAGCAGCAACAATCAGTGGATTCATGATAAGTTTCTCCTATGTCAAAATAAAATAAAGAAATAGTTAATAATATAATCAACAAAAAATATATGACTTAATTATTTCATTCGTCCTATTTCTCTTTATCTAGTCGAAGTGTAATTCAAAATTTCAAACTGAAGAATTTGGATTGAATTATCTCAATTACTTCGATATTTACTTTTTTCGTTTCTACCCTTGTCGTTTTTTGTGAATACATACAAATTGGGGTCTTATCTTACATTTCGTTTAAACCTTTCTTTTTCTTTTTGATTTCATTTTTCCAGTCATTTTATATTCCATTCACAATTCCAAGAGATGGAAGAGCTCTTTTTTTTGAATCCCTACCTAAATTTAGAGTAGTAGCAGGACAAATTGAGATATATAGTCATATATAACTAATGAATATCTACTATGACATATACATGTGTTTGTTCCATATCGTAAACCAATTCATTGTATCAATTAAGAAAAGAATAGAAAAAGCTTTTATTGTGTCACTTAAGTTATATACAAATTCTTGAACCCAAGAGTTAAGAATAATGAGTTCTTGATTACCCCTAATAGAATAAACACTTAGAATAAGGAAACATATTATATTTGTAAAGAAATGAAAAATCGTATGGATATTATCTTCGTTGTTCGTCTGAATCAATTGGATGGTCGCTTTGTAGATTTCGATATGAAGGTTTTGTAAATGTGTTTCCGGGTATTCCTTTAGCATTTCATCCAAGAGGAACAGTTCCTCGAACTCTAGGAATTTCTTTACAATAGTTTTTTCTTGAATAGTATTCAAGAAAATTTCGGATTCTTTCGTATTCCACCAATTAGTAATCCAAGATTCCAGACTTTTCTTAAATGTAAAAGAGATGCACCAGGGCAAAAAGACTATAGATGTAAGACATAGAAAGGGAACGAATGCTTTCTTTTTTGCCATTTTTCGTCCTCAGTTTCATCTCATTTTTCAACTCTAGAATATTCTATATATTCTAATATTTCTATCAAGCATAAGTTCTATTACAAGTAAATACTAATAAAAAGCGAGTTTAGCCTATAATAATTAATATATTATAGGCTAAACTCGCTTTATAGGCTAAAATCGATCGGCTAAACTCGCTTTTTTATTAGTATTCTTTGTAAATAATGTCCAATGGTATATTCAAGAATCTGGAAAACTCCAAAGCATGTTTTGTAAGCATGTATCTACGACCATCTTTAGTAGGAGTCATCTGCAAGGTCCCGTGTTTTCTGGTTTCAATATAAATGACATCACCCCAGATTCGGTTAGTTACTAGTATGAGGCACGAAATTTCTTTTATTAAAATGCGGCGAACATTAGAGCTACTTATTCCAGGAATAGGAAGTCTGTAACGAGTAATATATAGCACTCCTTTTCTTTTATCGAAAAAATTAGTTCCGCCAATTACAGTCCAATAATTAATATATTGAAACATGATACCGCTTAGGATACTGACAATTGCAGTGATAAGCAGAGAAACAATCTTATTTGGTAGCACAAAGAGCCATTTAATCGGTGCATCGAAAATGTTCATCCGAGTAAGATTGCTATAGAAACGATAGAGAGAAAAGAATCCCACGAAAAAACTGACATGACTTAAAATTCGAAAAAAACGTGTTGGAAACCCGGGATAGTGTCCATCCAAGTATTTTCTGACACATAGGAACATAAAACTTTTTTGTTTGTCTCGTCCTTAATGAATTCACGGATCATTTGAAGTAAATAATCCAAAATTGTTCTAAGGAAATAAAAAAACAAAACGAAAAAGATATTCCTAAAAAGAAAGGCCGCAAAACATAAAATAAATCCACCAGGATGTGTGGCGGATACGGGCTTCTTTCTAGGAGAATAACTATTACTTTTAATATACTTAAAAGGTAAGTTCCATGCAGGAAAATATGTGTCACTGTAATAATAATACAGTGTCTTTTTTTCTAGATCCACAGGTTTTTCAAAAATCTTTTCAAGTCTTTTAGATCCATGATATATATATCAGAGTTACAAAATAAATAGGAGAAAGAAAAAAGGTATTCTTAGTCTAAATTAGTGTAAAATAGTGTAAAATAAGGTATTAGCTACAAACTAGTTACAAAAAGGCGGAAATAAAAAATAGATTCTTAGTGCAAAATAACGTAAAACTAAGTTTAAAATTGTTTTTATTCAATCTTCCAAATTTTTAGTCAAAGGAACGAAACCATGGAACCGAAATAACTCCGTTAAAAACTGCTTTAAAAAATGACGTGGTACGACTGAATCCAATACTCCCTTGTCGAATAAAAGGTCCGCCGATTGGGAACCTTCAGGCACTTCCACATTCAACAATTGTTCAATCACTCTTTTACCCGCAAATGCAATGGTTGCGTTTGGTTCCGCAATAACGATATCCCCCAACATCACAAAACTAGCGGTTACCCCACCAGTAGTCGGAGATGTAAGTATCGCTACATAGAATAACTTTTTATTTATTTGATAATTATATAACGCAGAAGAAATTTTAGCCATTTGCATTAAGCTCAAACTTCCTTCTTGCGTACGCGCTCCTCCGGAAGCACAAACTATAATTAGAGGTAAAAGTTGATTGGTAGCATATTCGATCAACCGAGTTATTTTCTCACCCACTACGGATCCCATACTACCCGCGATAAACTCAGAATCCATAATAGCTATTGCTAAAGGAATACCATTTAGTTGACCTATGCCTGTTTGAACCGCTTCTGGTAATCCTGTCTTTTCTTGATAAGAATCAAGACGATCGATATAAGGTTGATCTTCTTCCTCTTCCTCTTCCTCGGGAGGATCCACGAAAATCAAGTCGAATGCAATAGGATCCCATTGAAGAATTGGAATTTTTTCAATCGAATCAAATTTAATGGGATCCAGAGAAACCATGTCTTCATCCATAGGATTCCAAGTACCTGGATCAATCAAAAGTTCGATTCTATCTGAACTTCTCATTTTCAGATGCTCACCACAGTATTCGCAAATACTCAGTTTGGCTACTAAAAATTGTTTAAAATTTAAGCTAGAGCAAGTTTCGCATAGAACCCATAAATGACTATATTGGTTCATTTTAGCCAGCATATCCATTTTGCTATTATCATCACTATCCTTCTGACATATATATGCATCTGATGTATCAGATATCTCCAATGGATCTGATCTATCTGATCCATCTGGATCATTTATATAATCTGGATCTGATGTCTCCAATGTCTCCAATGGATCTGATCTATCTGATCCATCCGGATAATAGATCTCATCTAGATCTGATGTCTCCAATGTCTCCAATGGATCTGATCTATCTGATCCATCCGAATCATTTATATAATATGGATCTGATGTCTCCAATGTCTTCAATGGATCTGATCTATCTGATCCATCCAGATAATAGATCTCATCTAGATCGTATATACCATATAGATCCTCCTCTGTATCTGATAGATCAGATAGATCTATCTCCAATGGATCTGATATATCAGATCCATCTATATAATATGGATAATCTGTATCTGATGGATCAGATAGATCTATCTCCAATGGATCTGATATATCAGATCCATCTATATAATATGGATAATCTGTATCTGATGGATCAGATAGATCTATCTCCAATGGATCTGATATATCAGATCCATCTATATAATATGGATAATCTGTATCTGATGGATCAGATAGATCTATCTCCAATGGATCTGATATATCTGATGTATCAGCAAATGGATCGTATCGATAATCTGTATCGGATGGATCAGATAGATCTATCTCCAATGGATCTGATATATCTGATACATCAGATATATCTGCATCATCTGGATCTGCTGTCTGATTTCTAGCATTTGTGTTCCTTAATATTATTATATTTGTACTATGGCTTTCACTAGTATTTTGGCCCCTATCGCAAATGTAACTCTTAAAGTCCATATCACGGTAACTGGCATTGGATTTGTCAATATCCTCCCAGATTTGAGAACGAAGATAATTCCAAATGCAACAATTCATGGATTTGTCAATATCCTCCCAGATTTGAGAACGAAGATAATTCCAAATGCAACAATTCATGTTATAAGTCCAACTATCATCATTATAAGCATAATATATGTCATAACTATTATTATGACTATCCCAAACGGATAGACTTTTTGCAAATAACAAATTATGATTATGTATGTTGTTCACATCTGCTGAATAGTCAGCATGACCATGACTATAACTACAATTTTCACTATTGTTCATCCAGCTATGAATGTTATTATGCATATCAGTTAAACTAGATGGGTCTCCACCGTTATTTTCATCAATAGGACCAAAACTATCTATACCAAAACTATCTATTGATTTACTTAAACCACACCTATATTCTAAACCTCTAGTAAACAACATACCTCTAGTAAACAACATCGAATTGAACCCTTGTCTTTCCATAGATTTTTATTCCTTTTTAAATTAAAATATTACATAATGAATAGTCATTGTTTTTTATCGAATAGTTATCAAATTTAATTTTAATTCGTATATTAATTTATTTAATTAATAAGTAATTGAAAGTTATATGAATGAACAATATATCCCCACCCAAGAACAGCCTTTTTTATTTTTGGTTTATGGCAAAAAACCTATGATATCGATTCATGTCAATGTGATGAATTGAATCGATATCATCTGGGACGGGAGGATTCGAACCTCCGAATAACGGGACCAAAACCCGCTGCCTTACCACTTGGCCACGCCCCATTTGTTATTCTATATAGGTATTTACTTTTGTCAAGTTAGACCATATTTCTTTTTTCTTTTAGATTTCATTTTTAATATAAAAGTATAAAAAAAAAGTGGATATTAAATAATATATATAATAAATCATATCTTATATATATATATATAAGAATATATATAATAATAAGTAAGATAATAAAAAATAAAAAAATTAGAATTCAAAAAAAAAAGAAGCAAAAATACAATTCATTTTATTAAAGAACAACATTTTTTTTATGCTTCATATCTTTAGCTTGGTCTGTATTAACTCTGTCCTTTATTCAAGTAGTTTTTTCTTGGGGAAATTACCTGAAGCTTATGCTTTTTTGACTCCAATTGTAGATTTTATGCCAGTAATACCCTTACTCTTTTTTCTCTTCGCTTTTGTTTGGCAAGCTGCTGTAAGTTTTCGATAAGATCTTTCATTTGAATAATGTCCTAAAAAAAGTAAGAATTTATTAGAAAACTCAAATTGGAACTTTTTTAAGGAAACATAATATGAAATAGAAGAGAATCTATTCTCTTTCTCTGTCGTTTTTTTTTAATTATCTTGGAGATTTTGTAATGCTTACTCTAAAACTATTTGTTTACACGATAGTGATATTCTTTGTTTCTCTTTTCATCTTCGGATTTCTATCTAATGATCCTGGACGTAATCCTGAACGTGAAGAATAAGAAAATCTTTTTTCTTTTCCTTACTTGTGCTTGATTTTGAACTATTTTTTGTTTTTCTATCTATTTTCGATCTTTAACTAGTCAAAAAGAACTAGTAAAAAATGAAACAAACAGGGAATAAAAAAAAAGAAATTCCATAAGTTCAAAAGAAAAAAATGGCAAATCATCAATAAACGGAAAGAGAGGGATTCGAACCCTCGGTACAAAAATGCGTACAACGGATTAGCAATCCGACGCTTTAGTCCACTCAGCCATCTCTCCCCAATTCAAAGAATGGAATTATTATGCTTATGATACCTCACAGGGCTCGAAAAAAGGCTTCAATATATCTTATTTGATATGGATCTTCATTTGATATATTTTATCTATCTTTTTTCTATTTGATTCTAATTCTATATTAACTCATAAATATAGATTGAGTTATATATTAATTGTATATATATATATATATATATATATATATATATATATATATATATATATATATATATATATATATATATATATATATATATATATATATATATATATATATATATATATATATATATATATATATATATATATATATATATATATATATATATATATATATATATATATATATATATATATATATATATATATATATATATATATATATATATATATATATATATATATATATATATATATATATATATATATATATATATATATATATATATACACTAAATACGATAGTAATATAATTATACTAAATAGATATAAATCATTATACTAAATAGATAATCTAAATCTATAATTTTAGATTTTCTTTTTTAGTTTGTTTTTTTATCCAACCAGAGTCCAGCTAGGTACTGGCACAACTCTTTTTTCCCATGAATCCTGGATAACAACGATTTATTTTTCTGTATCAGATTTGAAACAAACTTTTAATTAATTCAAACATTTTAATATGATCAAACAAAAATAAAAATAAAAATAACTTTGTGATCGTATCTCATACGAATGAATCACGTAACGTATCTAAAAAACGAAATAGAACTATGGATTCTTGCATTGCATAATGCATTTTTGTGTTATGAATTTAGTTTAGTAATTTTGTCGAGATCTATCTGTCAAAATACCTTCAACAAAATCCAAAAATAAAATCCAAAAATGAGATTTGCCCCCTTTTCTAAATTTCATTAGGGGGCCTTTATGAAACATGTAAACACTCTATTTATCATAAAATTCTACACCTATTTCAGAATTATTTATGACTGATTCCCTTGTTCGACAAAAGATCTTTTTATATACAAAAATGGTATTGTAGCGGGTATAGTTTAGTGGTAAAAGTGCGATTCGTTCTAACGATCCCTTAATAGTTAAGGGGTCCCTTTCGTGATTCATATCACAATCAAAAACTTTATTTCTTACTTTTAGGGATTTCATCCTTTATACCTCTCAACGAGCAATTCGAGGAATAATATACATTATCGTAATTTGTATACAATTTAGAATTTATTCTAAAATTATGAAACATAAGTTTTTGCACAAGAATCCCAATTTTTGAATATAAGTAAAGGATCCAGGGAGAAAGATATCTAAAATTAGTTTCCAATCGTAACTAAATCTTCCCATTTTTTTTTGTATAGGAGAGAGTGAAGCAAAATAGCTATTAAACGATTTTTTTAGTTTACTAGAAACATCAATATATTTTTTTAGCTCGACGGAAATTTTATTCTTTTCCTAAAGATTCTATCAAATAGAAATAGAGAACGAAGTAACTAGAAAAAAAAGAGATTGTTCAAATACTCCTTTTCTTTCTATAGGGATTATCTAAAAAGCAACGTGAATTCTATTCATACCGAAAGGCTGACATAGATGTTATGGGTCATTTTTTTCATGTATTCCATCTATCTCTAAAATTATTCTGTAAAGGAGCTGAATGAAACAAGTTTCACGTTCGGTTTTGAATTAGAGACGTTCATTCATAAACGTCGACTATAACCCTTAGCCTTCCAAGCTAATGATGCGGGTTCGATTCCCGCTACCCGCTTATATTCTATTTCTCTATATATTCTATTCTATTTTTTATTTAGTAAATTTCTTTAGTTAGTTTTAGTTATGAATATTCAATTGGAATGATTTAATTTCGTCTTATTCTATTTAGAATTTAGAATAATTATTATTTCGATATTCAGATAGATGGAGGAGTATTTTATAGAATTCTTTTTTTTCTTTCCCTTTTCACGAAAATTTCGTGAAAAAGGAAAGAAAAAAAGAAAAGCGTCCATTGTCTAATGGATAGGACAGAGGTCTTCTAAACCTTTGGTATAGGTTCGAATCCTATTGGACGCAAATTTATTACATATTGAATTTATTGCAATTGCATATATATTACTTGAATTCGTATATTTCAAAAACTATATTGTGAATCTCTTCTCTTTATTATTCTTTTTGAAATATGGAAAGAGACTAATTATCTAGAAAGGTATGAAATTTGGAATCAATTTTTTTCTACTTGTTCCTGAAGTAAAAAGAGTTCCATCTGTTCCTGAATAGCTTCCTTCAAAATGGCTTCTGCTTCCCCAGTAAATGTCTTGGTCGAAGATATGATTTCGTTGAATTTCGGTTTATTCGTTTTTAAATAAGCCCATAACTTAACGAGAAATTTCCTTACCTGTTGAGTTTCTAATGAATCAAGATAACTATTCGTTCCAGTATAAATAGTTATTATCTGTTCTTCCACAGTAATAGGAGATGATTGGGATTGTTTAAGCAACTCGCGCAATCGTTGACCTCTTGCCAATTGATTTTGCGTAGTTTTCTCAAGATCGGTAGAGAATTGTGCAAAAGCTTCTAATTCTGCGAATTGTGCTAATTCCAATTTTAATTTACCAGCGACTTGTTTCATGGCTTTTATTTGAGCCACCGATCCAACTCTGGAAACGGAAAGACCCACATTAATTGCGGGTCTGATCCCAGCATTGAATAAATCGGCAGATAAGAATATTTGACCATCTGTAATGGAAATGACATTCGTAGGAATATAAGCTGAAACATCTCCGACTTGGGTCTCAACTATTGGTAAAGCAGTCATACTTCCTTCACCTAACTGACAACTTAATTTCGCGGCTCTTTCCAAAAGACGCGAATGTAAATAAAAAACATCTTCGGGATAAGCTTCGCGACCTAGTCGTCTTCGTAATAGAAGAGACATTTGGCGATAAGCCTGTGCTTGTTTGGAGGGATCATCATAAATGATTAAAGTGTGACGTTCACGGTACATAAAATATTCAACCAGAGCTGCGCCTGTATAAGGCGCGAGGTATTGTAATGTAGCTGGGGAATTTGCTGTTTCAGCCACTATAATAGTGTATTCCATTGCTCCTCTTTCTTGTAAAGTAGTTACTACTTGAGCCATAGAAGATGCTTTTTGACTAATAGCTACATAAACACATACTACATTTTGTCCCTGTTGATTGAGAATCGTATCTGTAGCTACTGCTGTTTTACCTGTTTGTCTGTCCCCAATAATCAATTCTCGCTGGCCACGCCCTATAGGGATCATAGAATTAATAGCAATAAGTCCCGTTTGAAGAGGCTCATACACGGAACGTCTGGAAATAATACCGGGAGCGGGAGATTCAATTAACCGAGATTCCGAAGCTGAAATTTCTCCTCGACCGTCAATAGGTTTAGCTAGGGCATTTACAACACGACCCAAATAACCCTCACTTACTGGTATCTGAGCAATTATTCCTGTTGCTTTTACGGAACTTCCCTCTTGTATCATCAAACCATCACCCATTAATACAACACCAACATTTTTGGATTCCAAATTCAAAGCAATGCCTACTGTACCCTCTTTAAATTCTACTAATTCACCTGCCATTACTTCATCAAGACCATAAATACGAGCAATGCCATCGCCTACTTGAAGTACGGTACCTGTATTTACAGTTTTTACTTTGGTATTATATTGCTCAATCCGTTCACGGATAATTTGACTAATTTCATCTGCACAAATG